CAGAAACAGCTGCTATCAGATTACCCATCAAAGCACCGACCCTGACATTTTCATTTATCTGTCTCTGTCCTCGCCGAAGCATCAGTTCCAGGAGAGCAGACATCTTGCTTGTCTCGTTCAGCACCCTCTCCAGCTCCTAGCACAGAGCCTGGCACCAGGCAGGCGCTCACCCATTCCTGGGGCGAATGCTTTAGAGAGGAATATGAGGTATGGACACAACAGCGGACCATTTGGAGAATAACTAGGTTTCAAATTTATAAGTGACACTGCCTCTGTATAAATTACTTTGTTAGGACGATCCATTTCTGATTGCTAGTCAGTTAAATATAACTTTAGGCATACAGTAATAACATATACCAATCATGAAATCATTTCCACAGTATGAAACAATTCATACCATCTTTTATTTCTTGTGCTTACCAAAATCTACCTACTCATGACGGGAAATGATAACCAGCAGGTGGCACTGAGAAGCTAAAAGGCTAATTCCAATGTAACCCTGATGTTCGGGGGGCTAGCAATCTGAGTCTGTGCCAGCAATCTAATGCACATTCTTGATGACCTATAACTCACTGCCCCTTTCTCCACAAACTGGTCTTGCAAAACCTGTTACCTAAATGCTCACATTTACAGAGGCCATAAACCATGAGCACACAACTCCAGAGGGGTTATCAGTGCTGGTGCCAGGACAGGCCCTTAGATATGGTCTCAAGACCCCCATCCCAACCCACAGGGCTTTCTGCAAAGCCCACGAGGTCCGGAAGGACCCATCATACAATATTTGGCGGACAAAGCAACCAAAGGGGATAAAAGTGGGGCTTCCACCATATTGGTTGGCTCAGACTTTGAGAGGCAAACCCCTGAGTCCGTCGGCATAACAAAGCTGTGAAACTCCCTTTTTCGAAGCATCGCTTGGTTTTCCTCTGGTCTTCTACAACAGCTCTAGGTTGAAGAGAACTAGGTTTCAAGAGTGTAATTACCTTCTATTTTTTTAATTTTAAGAGGAAAGACTAGTCATCTCTCCCAAAGGAACGACTGTTAAAATATACTGTTTGTATTTACAATTTTATTTCCCACAGTGCAATTCAAAGAATGAAGTAAAGTTTGTCTGATGTTGCAGAAAATCACACAATAATGAATAACTTACTGTCAATTTCTTTAATACCTGCATTTCACAATACGACAAAAGGGTAAAATAATAAGGCTGAAATCCTGAAAATTTGCATTTATCTGCTTTTTTTATTCAAAAGTCCATGATTCTTTGGGAAGTATACAAGATTGTTTTCCAGTCAAACCATAATTTCCACAAATTCTATATAACCATGAGCTTGAAAGGTTCCTGCTCCCCGACCCCAATTCACTTTTGGCACCTGTGTGTGAAATGTCACTTCTGAAAAATGGGGAAAATGTGAGTACTGGGCTTTTACCACAGTACTCCTTTCCTGATGAAAATTTTCTGAATGTTGAACGCAGGATATTTAAGAAAGATTAACAATATCGCACCAATAAAAAATTTTTCTAAGCATATAGCTGTCTCAGAAAAAAAAAAAAAAAAATTAGAAACAGCAGCCAGTTCTCAGAGGTAAAAGAGTAATGGCTTATCCTTCCCGACTAATTCCAACTTTAAATTCAGAATTATCAGGAGCCGGGGCCTGGCTTCCTGGGCCGAAGGCAGTGGTACTCTGGCGCCCGGCCTCCGGGCCCTGCGGGTCTCCCTTGTGCAGAGGGAGCGGCTGGAAGACAATGTGGCATCGCCAGTGGAGACAAGGAGCCTAACCGCTGGGCTGGCAATTACGAGAGGAGTTAGCCAAAGAATGTCTTAAAATCTGATGAGAAAAGTGCATGATTCGTAAAGTATCCCACTCCTGACTCTTCACTCAGTCCGTTAAAAAGAAGCTCTACCTGCCAGGAGGCCACAGGGAGGACAGCCAGCACAGACGACCACTGGCTGGTACACAATACGAGGAATACAGCTTTCCTTTCCCGCCTGTGAGGGGTTAGGAGCTCCGCACTGACCCCTGCGGGCGAACTCAGGTTTGTTAGCGACACTGCGAATCCACTGGGTATTGCCAAGAAACATATCCCCCCAAAATCTGGGTTTTAAGCATCATTAGAGTTTCCTGGATTTTGGGGGTACTACTGTTAAGCCGACAAGGGCTGGGGGAGTCTTATCCCATCTCTTCTCCCAAAACCTAATAAAATAAGACATTTTTATTTCAAAACAAAAGGCGCTAATGTTATGTAATGGGGGTGGGGGGAAGATAAGACACCTATGACAGTGCTCTTCCTTTTTAATTAACATTGAACTATTTCCTACCTCTCACACTACATACTTAGTTAAACTCCAGGGAGGGAGGCAGGGAGAGAGGGAAGGAGGGGAAGAGGGAGGAGGGAACGGCAAAGCCTCCTGACCCCGTGGCCAGTCCACACAAGGTCAAGGGCTTATTTCTCTGCCAGGGCTGACTCGCCAGTGTTTTCCCCATTGAAGAAGTCTGCGTGAAGAGGGCGGGTGAGCAGGGAGCACACAGTAGACTACAGTCTTCCCTCAACGACGCCCTGTGTCCTCATGGCAACTGACTCCGCCCGCCGCCACGGCAACAGCTCTTCACAGCAAGCAGCATCTCTCCTTAAAACTTTTCTTGTTCTTGCTGCTTTTCTTGCCATTCTTGTCCTTGTTTTCAGACATCTTCTTTGCTCTGATTTCTCTCATTAGATCAAAGAACACCTGGGGTGAGGAGGAAAGGATGAAAAGAACAGGAAGAAAAAGCCATTTAATGTTTTTAGGAAACGATTGGACCAAGCACAAAATTATACTCATTCTTATAAACTATATGCCGTCAAAAACAAAACATTTAGAGCAAATAAGAATAAAACATTAAAAACACATTCTGACTGCCCTGGCTGTTTTTCTCAGTGGTCAGAGCATCGGTCCAAGCATTGAAGATGTATCGGGTTCAATTCCCAGTCAAGGGCATGTACCTGGGTTAAAGGTTTAATCCCTGGCCCCGGGCCAGGTGCATGTAGGAGGAAATCAATCAATGTGTCATCTCTCTCTCTCTCCACTCCTCCCTCCTCTCTTCCACTCTCAGGATGATGAGGAATAAAACAGCAGGGAACAGACCTACTACAGGTGGTGACGTCACAGATCCTGAGAATGACAGGAGGAATCAGACTCACTAGCATGGCCAGCCACCAGAAAATGAACATGATGTAAGTGCCTGTTCTTGTTTAATCCTTATAAGGACCATAGGAAAGTGGGGGTGTCATCATGCATGACAGTCCTCACAGAGCTGAACAGCAGGCCAAGGAACACAGCTGGAGGAGGAGGGGTCATAAACCAACAGAAGCTCCTGCATATGAGCCTGGGAGTGGGAGGGGCATGCTGGCAGCCCCTCCCCATGCACACGCCTCCCTGATCTGAGGAGCCGCCCTCCTCTGACCCTGAACCCCTGAACGTCCAGGAAAGGAACTTTATCAGGAACAGACGAGACTCGTTCTTTGAATGCCAGTATGCTGTTTAGATACAGATTATCGTTTGTCACAATAGTTTGGGTTTTGCCCTCTGCTACCAGCACTTGTGCCAATGTACTGACTATACCCACACGGACAAATACGCCCCAAGAAGAAACATTGGCCATGTTTCCTAGAGAAGGAGACACAGCGGGCAGCGGGCAGGCTTGTCTCTGGCCGTTCAGACCACAGCTGCCTTCTCCTCCCAGCCCAGGAGGAAGTGAGCTGGGGTGCTCTGAGGGGCCTGGGCCTTCCACCAGCTCAGGCACAGGAGAGGGCTTCCCCAAACCCGAGCAGACTGGCATCAGCACCCCGGCAGGAAAGCACCCCACCACAGCACAATGAAGCCTGCAAACGTTACTGGTTTTCCTTTTTGTTCTAACAAAAGGCAGAGGAGGGAATGGAGGGTGTCAACTTAAAAATGACAAAACAGTTCCTGGGCTGATCTCACCAACAACCTTGCTTCCTGGAAACTGTTTCCCGAGGAACACAATGTCTGCTGCAGTGAGCAGCTTCTGTGCTTCTCGTTCGGCAGGTCAAGCAGGTCCCAAGGAGGAAAGGGCCATGACAAGCTGCTGAGCGACAGCCCTCTCCTCCCCCCACCCCCCACCCCGCATCCAAAAACTGCATGGCAACAGAGTCCCTGCCGAAAAATCGTCCTGGTTCTTTACAAAGAAGTTTGTCTGGTTTCCTGTACGGCTTCTAAGCTAGGGAACAATTTAATAGGAAGAGTGATTGCGCAGAGCACAGAGTCAGCACAGAGCTGGGACAGTAACCAAAGAAAAAGGCAGACCGGTGAGCCCACCGCACGCGCAGACAGACTGCCCCTGAGGGCTCTGTGCGGTGCTGCCCACGCCCCTCTAGGGGATTCCCGCCAGGCTGGTGCCAAGCTGCGGCCAAGCTGGCTCGCCAATGGCTCCCTCTTAGGAGAGAAGTCCAGGAGAATTTATCTCCGGGAGAAAGAGAAACAGAGGAAGCCGAAGGGGGAGGAGGAGATTGGATGCTGATGTAGCACAAGCCGAGCAGACACGCCCACTGTGGCTGAGAGGGCACTGGGCTGAGGCTTCCCAGGCGTGAACCAGGAGCAGAACTAGGAGTGGAACCAAGAGCAGAACCAGGAGCAGAACCGGGAGCGGAACCAGGAGGAGAACCAGGAGGAGAACCGGGAGGAGAACCGGGAGGAGAACCGGGAGGAGAACCGGGAGGAGAACCAGGAGCGGAACCAGGAGCGGAACCAGCAGGAGAACCAGGAGGAGAACCAGGAGCAGAACCAGGAGCAGAACCAGGAGCGGAACCAGGAGGAGAACCAGGAGGAGGAGAACCAGGAGCGGAACCAGGAGGAGAACCAGGAGGAGAACCAGGAGGAGAACCAGGAGGAGAACCGGGAGGAGAACCAGGAGCAGAACCAGGAGGAGAACCAGGAGCGGAACCAGGAGGAGAACCAGGAGCGGAACCAGGAGGAGAACCAGGAGGAGAACCAGGAGGAGAACCAGGAGGAGAACCAGGAGGAGAACCGGAAGCAGAACCGGGAGCAGAACCGGGAGCGGGCAGAGGTGAGGGCACAAGGAGCATGTCGGCAGCTGTCTCCCTTAGCTCTGTAACAACCACGTTGAGCGTGTATTTTTTAAAGGCCTATCGACAGCAGTCACTGGTAGGTGGATTTTCAAATTGTCACCATTCGTCATGATCAATATCAGCCTTTCCTTAGCCTCAGAGGTTTGAAAAGGAAAGTATGCTGACGGGAAGGAAGAGAAAAGAAATCCCTGGGGAGCTGACTCCTGCGGGCAAGCACTATTCAGAACTCAGTTCAGAGACAGAGGCCCCGGCTCTGCCTGCGATGGTAAGGATAGTAAATCCAACCAGTAGCTCCATGAGGACAAAATCATGAGTTTCTCAGGGGAACGCCCCAGGCTGTGCCCGGAGACCAGGCCCTGGGCAGGGAGAGCTCAGGGAAGCTACAGAGAAGTCCTCCCGGAATGCCGGGGTTATGCTCATGACTCAAAGCTGAAGAAGCCAATTTCACCGTAGGTTAATTAGTATAACAAGAGCTACGCTCCCACGGCATTCCAGCCGCTGAAGGGAAGGACAGGAAGTGACTTACCCGAGGATCTGCAGCGCTGGTGCCAGCTGCAGCGTCTTCACAAACCATGCCCTCCCTCCCCGCCCGCCCGTTCCAAGGCGGAGCCCGCGCCAAGCCCTCAAACGAGGCTCATGACAGAGTGGCAGGGCTCTGAGCTGGGTTAAACCCACGTCAAACCCTCCCACTGCGTCTCATTACAACATGGACCTGGAAAAGTCCCCGGTTCCCACAAATGGTCCCCTTAAAACCTAACAGATGAGACATCTGGATTCTGCTGTTTCTCAAGTCTGTTTCCAAGAAACTGGGAGAGTGCCCACCTTGTCCACGTTGGCCCGCGTCTTGGCCGAGGTCTCCACGTACTGCACGCCCCACGCCTCGGCCTTGCCCCGCGCCTCCTCCACCGGCACCTGCCGCCGCTCCTCCAAGTCCGACTTGTTCCCCACCACGAGCAGCGGGATTTTATCCTCCTCGGCCTTCACACGGAGGATCTGCTCCCTGCAGTCACATCAGAAACAGAGCCGCGCAGGTGAGACGTTTCCGAAGGCAGAAGAAGAAATGGCATTCCTGCGCCAGGTGCCGAAGACGCATTCCCTCGCCCAGCCTGCCACAGCCTGGCCCAGGGTTCAGTCTGGTTCTCACAGCGGCCTGGGTGCTCACTGCAGATGCAGGTTCCTGGGCCCCACAGTTGCCCTACAAAAGTTAAGAACCTTCAGGGGAGCCCAGGATTCTGCATATCAATAGGCTTCCCAATTTATGCTTAGGTGAAAAAGAAGAAAAAAACATAGGGATCTCTAGGATAAAAACATGCTAAAGGAAGTATCTTCATACATAAAATGTTTAAGAATTCCCCTGAAAAAAAGATGGCATGACTTCCCTGTGAGAATAAAAGCTATGAAATCCAGTGTTTTTCATATGGAGCGTAGCAGTCAATTAGATCATGAAATTGATGTGGTGGGTCACAAGCAGTAATTTTCCCCCTCAGTGAAAAGAACATAAAGAAAATCGGCGGAGCCCCTAGTAGCCCGTGAGCCTGGCTCTGCGCAACCTCTGCTGTATTACGTCTGCGTGTGCGTGCACCTGCCTCCCCACCCCACCCCAGGTCCATTCAGACACAATAAAGTACAGGCCACAGAAGGGGGCAGCTATGTTAGGCAGAAACTGTATTTAATGTCCATTCGTTTTCCATACAAAGTGAAAAAAAAATAAGGAAATACTCCAAGGCCCATGAAAAAGTACTTCAAAAATATCTTCTCTAAAAGAACTGCTACCTAGAGCACATTAAATTTTACTGCCACTGAAAATAACCAGCTGTCTAAAGTTACTAATCAAAACCAAATATTAAAAAAATATGTATATTCCATTTGCATTGTTCTGATCCACCGGGGACACTTCTACATTCCAATACATCAGAGACCCTTCAAAAATGTACTTCATGGAGATTTGCATTGACTCATATGTGATATAGGATAACATTTTATAATAAAAATATTTGAATTTTTTCCATACAGTTAACTGAAGTACCAGATATCAAATTACTTTAAGAAAAATGAAGCAGATGAAAAGTTAGAGATAGCTTGAAAATGCTATCCCCCACACCTTAACAGGGGTCAAAGAGTCTGCTACATTTAGACGCTATGTGATCAATACAAACTATGAACAATTAAAACTGATAGCTTTCTGGCTCAGTCTTGCACAGGCAAGTAAAATTAGCGCATTAATAAATATATTAATCCAAAAATGGGGGTACCAAGTACTGGTCTCCTATAACATTTCCCAAAATATATTCTATAAACTAGAGAAATGGGATTCATTTCTCTAGTTTATAGAATATATCGGGGGAAATTTTCAAAACAGAGTATATTAACATTTTATTTTATGTCAGGTCTTCTAATGTGGAAGATAAGTACAGAAATGCTATGCTTTACAACTGCTAACGGGCATAGAGTAAAGGGAGTGAGTGTAGCCACAACAGCTCAGATAACGGCTGGAATCCAATGACGTAAGGAACATGGACAGCCTGGGATTTGTCAGGAGAACTAGCCCCCCTTCCTTTCTCTTTTAGGGAGTCATCTGTCCTTTTTCTTCTGAGGATCCCTCTTCTCTAATCACAACCAAAACCCTTCTCCTAAGATGAGACGAGACTGCTCTAACTCTCTGAGAATAAATGAATAGTATAAGAACAGGGGTGGCAAGGGTGGAACCATCTTCTATTCTCTGAAGATGATTCTAACTGTCCAGCATTTCCTCTCATGGTAAGTCAAAGAGAAAAGGGAAATCAAAGGCTTAGGAGGGGGAAGAAAAGAAGGTAGTGTGCGTCTGTCCCGTTTTACTGCAGGAGACGTAGAAACAGGATTCTGTGGCTGCACACACAATCACGAACCCATGGCTACATCCACATTCAGGAACCTCAAGGCACGCCGGAGTCTGAAAAGCAATAGGCCACCTCACACTGCGGTGTCAGAGAACAAAGATGCTCAGCCTGAGGCTTGCACTCTGGGGCCTCCCTTATTCCCTCCCGCTCTCTCGGCTGCCCCGGAGGCCCCGGGCTTACGGAGGCTTCCTTCCAAATCTTGGGGGGATATTTAGCTTCCTCGTTTCACCTTAATTTCTGACCAAACTTGCTAAAGAATGAAAAGAAAGTATTGTGCTTTTCTTTTTCAGTTTCCTGCCAGACTCTAGAGCTGGTTCTTACAGGAGTCATCACTACAGATGTTTATGAGGAGGACAGATGAAAGCTCAGCCGTGTACAACAGGAAGGGAATGGGGAAAGAGAAAGACTCCCTTCCATTGGAATTCTTTATGAATCATGGCTAATGGCTCACTACTCCCTTATAACAAAATAAACACAAGGTATCGTCCACATTTCAAAGGAATGACAGCAGGGAACATTCCGCTCACCAGGGACCACAGAGAGCAGGCTGGGATTCAGCACGGGGCAGCTGCAGTCCCTGCCGGAGGAATCCACTGTCTGAGCACCATGTCATTTCACCAATTCGATTCGGATGAAGAAACAGCATCTCCGATGCTGAGTAAACTTGCCCGGGGTCACAAACCTGGGGAGGGGCAGGAACCCCAGCCAGGTCTGCCTGCTTCCAAAGCCAGTTCTTCCTATTCAGCTACGCTAAGGCCTTCCGGTGGCAGCTAACGGTCACTCTGCCTCGCCTCCTTCACTCTGCTGACCATATTCATAAGCCTCAAAACAGATCAAACCTATTACTTTTCTAGCAAAATTACAAAAAAGATATTTAACTCTTACCAAGCACTGTCTCTCAGGATTTATATGAAAGCAAACGGCAGGCTATTGAATGTATGGAGTGGCTTTGTCCCTCTCGGGGACAACAGATTCTGAAGATAATTGATATTTAGAAATTATTATAAAACGGAGAAGTCCAAAGAGATTATAACAAACAGCGGACACTAATGTGCCAAGACTCCGAGCGCCAGGGAATTCTGAGAGACATTCTTCCTCGTTCCAAGCTCGGCCCTCCACTGCCCCTCCTCGCCGGGACCCGGGAAGGAAGGCGCCGACCTGAACTCGGCCGTGGCCGTGAAGGACTCGTGCTCCGTGATGGAGAACACGAGGAGGAAGCCCTCGCCGCTCCGGAAGTAGTTGTCGCGGATGGCCGCATAGTCCTCCTGCCCCGCCGTGTCCAGGATGTCGATCTGCACTTCTTCTCCATCGAGAACCACCTTCTTCCTGTAGCTGTCCGCCTTGGTGGGTTCGTAGTCTTCCACAAACTGCGGAGACAAACAGCAGCCGCCGCCATTAGCAAAGGCTGCAGGGAAACAAAATCTGCCAGAACATAAATGTCAGCGTACGAGTGCTTTACCTGTAAGCAACTGCGTGTTCCTGGGTATTACTATAACAACTACATTATGTGTAAGACACTATAAACTAAAGGTAACTTGTATACAACACTTCTTTATTGTTCAGTTCTACCATTTTTTATTTTACTTTGTTTTTAAACAAGAGCGGAAATGCCCATCTTACACGAGGGAGCCAAGCACAGAGAGAGCACTGGGCCGCATTGCCGTCCGTGTTAACTTATAATGCGAACACCGGCGAGGGGAGAGCAGCCGGCTGGAGTGGCTCAGTGTCTGGGCGTCCACCCAGGAACAAGAAGTCACCGGTTTGATTCCCAGACAGGGCACATGCCCGGGTTGCGTGCTCGATCTCTTCCTCTCTCTAAAAATCAGTAAAAGCACTTCTTTAAAAAAAAAAAAAAGGTGAAAAGCAGGAGCTCCTATTCATAATCAACAGAAGTAAAAAACTCATCTGTTTAGTAATGTGACTAGAAGTATCAAGAGGCTTAAATAGCTACGCAACTTAACAAACTCCAAATGCGTCCACGATTAAAAGTAAAAAATAAAGCTGAGGACTAGAAGAAACATGGGCGAAATCCGTTTATTAAGTTTAAGTAGGAAAGCCCATTTTTATAACTACGACTCAAAATCCAGAAGCCAGATTAAAAAAAAAAATTTGATAAATGGGACTATGTGAAATCTGTTTGTCATAGCATACTATAAACAAAGACAAATGACAAACAAGGAAAGAATATTTGAAGCCATATCACAAGGAGCTATATACAAACAAGCCGCACAAAAAGATCAACAATCCAATGGGGAAAAGTGGCCACGGACATAAACAATTCACAGAAAAGTAAATGCATGTGGTGTTAAACCTGTGAAAAATGTTCTTCCTCACTAGTAAAGAAAACAAAAATTGTATCTACAATGAAATACCATTTTCACCTACCAACCTGCACCCCAAACTTGCCCAGTCTGACAACACACCCCAGGGAGAAGGAGCCCTGAGGAGGAGGCACCCCGGGGAGGAGGGGTTTTAGGGAAGAAGCACCTTGGGGAGGTGGGGCCCCGGGGAGGTGGGGTCCTGGGGAAGGTAGGACCCCGGGGAGGAGGGTCCAGGGTGGAGAGGCCCAGGGAGAAAGGACCCTGGGGAGGAGGTGCCCTAGGACACTGCCAACGGAAACGGGACAGTCCAGTCCTGAAGGTGAGCACAGCAGGATCTGACCGAGCTAGAGAAGCCCTCGTCCTCTGTCCTACCGACCTGCTCCCAGGAGCCTCACCTACAGAAGCGTCTGCACAGGAACACACAGGCTCCTCACTGAGGCACTGTGTGTGATAGAAAATGGTTAAAAACACCCGAATGCCTAGCAATGGGAACCCACAAAATGGAAGACTGTGCAGCTATAAAAACCGAGGACGATAACTATGCACCAATATGTAAAGTTATCCAGAATATAACAGTGTACCTTCGCATAAGAAAAATAGGGACAATAAAATATAAGGCCTATATAATATACATATATATACACATATATATGTACATATATATTATATATATATTAGTGTGTTTGTGTATATGTATATGTGTGTGCCAAACAAACAAATATTAAAGCTGTTAAATAGAAAAACTGAAGCTAACTGAGCCTAAATGATTATTACATGGGTAATGTAGGCACAAAGAGAAAGAATTCAAGAGATTTTTAGAATAGAATGTTTTAACAGAATGCATCTCACTAAGAGACTAAGGACAAAAAGTGTCAAAGAAATGATAAAGAAACTTCCTTCATGCTTGTAATACTTAGTAATAATGATATTAATGTTTCAAAGCTATTTTCTTTATATTGTATTGCACATTGAATAAGTTAACAAATTTTGCTAAAATTCAAGCTATTCAGAAAAAAAGTAAATTAACAACAGCAATGTACTATTAAAATTGAACTGGAGGTGGTATAGTGAATATCCACATGCAAAATAATAAATTTGGACCCTCTACTTCATATCACATACAAAAATTAACTCAAAATGGACCAAAGAGCTGATGTAAAAGTCAAAACTATAAACTCTTAGAAGAAAACATAGGTGTGAATCTTTATCACCAGTGCATTCTTAGACATGAATGCAAAAGCATATGCATCCAAAAAAAAAAATAAACTGTACTTCATCAAAATTTAAGTTTCATACTTTCAATGTTGCCATCAAGGAAATGAAAAGACAACCAACAGATGGAATTAAATATTTGTAAATCAGACTTTGAGCTGTCTTTCTGCCAGGAGCAAGATCGGGGAGAGACCTTTGTCCAGGAATTCCTGAAGAATGGGTGTGATACTTAGCTTCCTGACAGCTGGTTTTGGGAGCTGTTGAAAGGGACAGCTAAGCTGTCATAAGACGTACCGTATTTTTCGGACCATAAGACGCACTTTTTTTCCCCCAGAAGTGGGGGGAAAAAGTCCCTGCATCTTATGGTCCAAATATAGCCTACACATATACTTTAAAAAAAAAGTTTTTTTACTTGCCCGGCTCTGTGTGGTCTCTGTGTGCTTGCCCGGCTCTAAAATGGTTCTAAATGCTGCTGTTTACTTTACAGGGTTGATTACATGTGTTTCTGACTGTGATGTTGGGTTTTAATGCACATAAAATATTTTAGGACACTATTTGTTTCAGAATCTTTTTTTCTTCATTTCCCTTCTCTAAAAACTGGTGCGTCTTATGGTCCGAAAAATACGGCAATTTTTTTCTCACGTGACAGACAGCAGATTTCCATCCCTTGAGGTGGGTGATGCTGAGTCGAGCAGGACAGCACAGTCTTGGTTCCTGTGGCCACAAATGCCCCTGCTCGGTGGCCGTTACTGTTCCCACAGGCAGTGTTCAGATTAGAGCTCAACCCAGGGACCTCTCATGTGATCACATTTCACACGGCACACACAGTACAGAATACTGTACACATATGTACTGAAAGCTGTCGGAACCACCACCCATTAAGATCATCACCCTTTTCACTAGACTGTCCATCTGTCCAGCCTCCCCTGCTGCTGGGTGGTGGGAGTGACCATGGCCATTCCTGGGACCTCCCTGGGGGAGAGGAATTAAGGCAGTTTAGTTGGGGTTGGTGGTGTGTGTTTGTGTGGTTTGGAGTCGCTTTGGCCTGTGGTGGTTACACCAGCCGTCCAGTGTGGGAATGGCTTCCAGGAACAGCCGCCACCCCCCGTGCTGACTCACCGGGCCCGGGACCTGTGTGCAGCCCCCGGGGTGCGTGTTGGTGTGGGCATGTCCCAGGACACCTGGCACTGAGTGGGTGGAGGAGGAGAAACAAGGGTGGAAACACGGAGCTAGAAATTAGTCTGCAAAGTTCTTCCCTACCTTACAGGAAAGCTCACTAGAGGTATCCTTAATCTGATAATTGTCCTAGAAGTTCCATTACGGTAATGTTGAGTAGTTGAGGAGCTGAAAAAAACCTTTCTAAGCTATTAATAAAAAAGAAATTTGGATCAACCAGGCTATTGGAAAGACTAAAATATATACAGTCCAAGGCACCTGCTGGTTAGACCCGTATGAAGCTATTAGAAAGCACCTCACCACGGCTGGCCGTGACCCTCTGCACGTAGGTGGACGCACACAGGATGGGGACGGACCTGGCCGCAGCAGGAGCAGGAGGGCTTACCTCATCGTACATGAACTGAAGCGTCAGGGCCGACTTGCCGACCCCTCCACTGCCGACCATGATCACCTTGTGCAGGGCCAGGGAGCTCTGGCTCTTACTCTTGTTTGCAGCCATCCTGCTGGTTTGCTGAGGTTGCGACAGACTGAGGAGCTGCCAATGCGGAAGACAGACGTGAGAGGCAGTTTGGTTTCTACCCGATGCGATCCCTCCGCTCCAGGAACGCCAACCCAGGCATCGGAATAACCCTTCCAGGCATCGGAATAACCCTTCCAGGCATCGGAATAACCCTTCCAGGCATCGGAATAACCCTTCCAGGCATCGGAATAACCCTTCCAGGCATCGGAATAACCCTTCCAGGCATCGGAATAACCCTTCCAGGCATCGGAATAACCCTTCCAGGCATCGGAATAACCCTTCCAGGCATCGGAATAACCCTTCCAGGCATCGGAATAACCCTTCCAGGCATCGGAATAACCCTTCCAGGCATCGGAATAACCCTTCCAGGCATCGGAATAACCCTTCCAGGCATCGGAATAATCCCGGGCCCAGAAAGCGCCAGCCTCGGGGTCCTTCACCACAGGGCGGCCAGGGCGGCCCCGTCATGAGAGAACGGGGACGGGCCTGTCTGCCCCACCAGCGGGAATGCCCCGAGCCCGGGGCCGCCCACCCCAAGTCACCTGGAGCCACAGAGAACGCCGGCCCTGGGGACTCGCTCTCTGTCCTCACTCCACCCCCATCACACCCCCCACACAGCCCTCACACTGACACTCGGGGTCACCGAAAAGGGCAAGTACATGTGTTTTTCTATAAGGACCCTCATGAAGGAGAGCTAAATTAACTTCAAGGATGTTCAAAGAGATGAACTGAGTTAAACTTTTCTAAAAATAACAATCTGATTAGTCAAAATCAGTTCAGCTTCACCAGTGAGAGAGAAGGTGAGTGCCCCTGGAACTGGGGGAGATAAGGTGTCCTGAGTAAGTGCATTTACTAGATACTACCTAGAACTTATTCTAACCCAAGTACCTACTTTTACTTTAATAATTTGTATGGATAATCTATTTCCCATGTACCACAGAGGAAGGAAAAGGACCTGGGCCCAAGTCTGGCTCTGCCATTTGTGAGCTGTGTGGCCTAGAACTAGTTATGCCATTTTCTTACCTGCGAAAACCAATAAGCACCAGCTAGGGTGCTGGGCTTTTCTGAGAATTAAAATAAGATAACACATGTGACAAACCAAGCACAGTGCCTAGAACACAGTAGAGACTTAATAAGGGCTGGTTTCCTTCCTATCTAACTTCTTTTTAAATCCTCACCTGAGAATATTTTTTCCATTGCTTTTTAGAGAGTGAAAGGGTAAGTGGAGGCGGGGGGAGACAGAGAGAGACAGAGACAGAGAGAGAAACATAGAACTTAAACCTTTTCTCGGTGATTTAAGGATGGCCATCACCACAGAAATCAGCGCTGTGATCTGGGCGGGTCTGAGTGAGTCATGCCTGGCCCTCCCCCTTCAATGGGACCCACCCCACACCCCTATTTATCTGCCTCTACTCCCCCCTTCTTTCCAGCCCCCTTTTCTAACTATGTACTTTTTAATAAGTGTCTTAAGCAATTAACTAGGTAACTAAGCACATTTGAGCTGTGACCGAAATAGAATAAGTGGGATAAGGAGCAGGCCTCCCCAAAGGCCTTGGTTTAGGAGGAGAAACTGCTTCTGGCCACGGAGCTGAGGCTGGCGGCGGAGGCTGGAGCCTCCAGACCGGTAAGCTGTCACTCAGTTTCTCTGAAGCAACCCTGCCGCTATGAATTCCCATGGCTGTATGAAAATGGAGAAATGATTCCCCAGGTGGGGGGCTTTTATAAACATGTGAGCTCTTTATAAAATTCTGAGCTGGGTTTTTGTTTTTTTTTTTATCAATTTTTCTAGAAGAAACCATAATAAACGAACTGAAGACTTTTCAACAAACTCACAGATCTCGGCTGAAAGCTCAGAAACTGAATGACCATGGTGCCTATTTCCAACCCACACACTGCTCAGGCCCCTGACATGATGAGGGAAGCAGGAGAGAGACAGCGCAGCCCGCCCACCCTGAACCAGTCCTGGACTGGACGGCTGCCCCCACTCCTGTTATTGGAGGTAATAAACTCATTTGTTTAAACTACTGTTGGTCTACTAATTTTATTGTTTTCCTTTTTACTTGTACCGAAAGCATTCCAGAAACAGTCTTTGTATTCCATAAACTCAAAGTTGAGTGGTTCAGGCAGATTAGCAAATGAACATCGGATACCAAATCCCACGGCTGAGTGTGTGAGGCGTGCTCTGGGAACAAAGGAGAAACATCTACGTAAGCCTGAAGGTCAGGGAAATTTTTTTTTAATATATTTTATTGATTTTTTTACAGAGAGGAAGAGAGAGAGAGATAGAGAGCTAGAAACGTCGATGAGAGAAACATCGACCAGCTGCCTCTTGCCGCAACCAATGTACATGGCCTTGACCAGAATCGAACCTAGGACCTTTCAGTCCGCAGGCTGACGCTCTACCACTGAGCCAAACCAGCTTCGGCTAGGTCAGGGAAATTTTAAGGGAGCAACGTAAGAACTGAGATTTGACTAAAGAGAGGCAAAGAAATACCAGGAAGAAAAATAACTAAGGCTCAGGAAGTCCATGTTGATGATTTGTTTATTATAGATATGCCTAGCCAATATACATGTTCTTTAAAATAATGCAAGTATCCTTCTCCCCAGCATTTTATTATGAAAAGTTTCAAACTTTAAGAAAAGTTGACGGAGCTGCACAGTGAATCCATGTTCCCACCGCCTGGGAGCTACAATTCACATTTCACTCCATTTCCTTTATCACACACCCAGCCATCTGGCATCCCTCTGTTTACCCATCAGTCTTAAATTCTACATTTCATGTAAGTTATAGACTTAGTACTCTTCATCCCTAACTTCAGCATACACACCACTGTGTGCAAAGCAATTCTAACCCCACTGCCTTTGCTAAAAAATTCAGAACTCTCTCTGAAGGCTGGCAAACTTCCTGACCTCTCCAATGGACTGTTTGGGTTCTTAAAAGCCATACACAGACCTGGGCCCGTAAGACCAGTTCTGGCATAGCTCCCATAGTCAGACACGTCTTCTATAGGGGCCTCCAGAAAACACACCAACAGACGCCCTTTAACGTGCTCTACTCATCAACACAGAAGCTCCGTAGCCTGATTCACTTTTGTCCCCAAAATACTGACGTGCGACACTGTGGGTCTGTGCCCTTAGAAAACACTCTCCTAAGGAAAGACATTTTAATACAATTCCTCGCAATGATAAATGATAAAGACAGCAAGAGGCATAGTGAAGCATAAGGAACTCTGGGAAAAGAGAACCAGGAAAGGCTTGAACCTTAAACAAAAGTGAGGGGCCATTGCAAGGTGGGTCCTCCAGCCCAGCTTAACCTTAAGGTATTGGATGGATAAGAATAAACACACACAGAGAAGCAAGGCACTCCCAACCAAGAATGGCTCCACAGGGAGCTGGGAAATGCTTTGTAGGTAATGTTCTAGTAGATAATGCTCTCTACCATTTAGCATTAATTAAAATACCAGAACACAGAATTTACTTGAGAAGTAAATTCTGAAAGCAAATCACAGTACATAAACCACGAAGCAGAGTGTCGGCAGGAACGGGTGGTCTTAAGTGATCTTAGGCTCAGGCCAACCTAATCAGTAGCCTCTTGTTTAACAAACTGGGAGAAAATGAGTTGGTAGGTAGAGTCCAAATGCCACCTTGTATCACAGAGTCGTCACGATAATCAAATGAGAATCTGAAAATGTATCACATTTATTGATTTATGAATATTGAACCAGCCTTGCATTCCCAGAATAAGTCCCACGTGATCATGGTGTATGATCTTTTTAAGGTACTGCTGGGTCCAATTTGCTATTATTTTGTTGAGGATTTTAGCATCCGTGTTCATGAGGGATATTATAATTTTCTTTCTTTGTAGTGTCTTTATCTGGTTATCTTCCATTTTATGTAAAGAAGTATCTACGACAAAATTCCAAATCCTCAGACTGAGTGCTGTCAAACCACACTTCTACCACTGTCAAACAACGGGCGTATACTTTCATATGCTATTTTTATTTTTTGCCATAAATCACTAAAGCTTCTCTAAAATGCTCCCAACTCTCCAAAATAAAAAAGTAGAGGCCTAATTACAGTAATAACACATTAAAAACAGTATTAGGCATTTGGGCAAAAGTACTTCTGGTAAAAATGAGTTTAAGAAAAGATTTCACTAGAGAACACAATTCTTTCCAAATAGGAAATTTAAGAGACTGTCTGCCTAGCATCCCTCTTCTAGAAGCTGCTCCCTTCGGCCACCTTCATGGTTATCCCAGGAGAGGTGAGAGGTGAGAGGTGAGAGGTGAAGGGGAGGACGATAAGACGTGTCAGGTTAGTTTGGGAAAAACTGAGTGGTCCCGAGGGGGCACTGGACCAAGTCAGGTGTGGCACCACACTGAGGGGCCAGGCCCACGGAGGCTCAGCGGGGAGAGGGAGCCCGGGGAAGGCAGCACAGCGCCCTCCGAGAGGACCGGCAGCTCCTGGGCCCCGCTTGTTGCTGGGATTCACCAGCGCCAGACAGACTCCTGCTTTTTCAGAGATGGCAGGAATTTTTATTTTTATGAGAAATCTTCCCTTTTAAAAGCTAATGACCAAATCAATTTTCAAAAGCAATGTGAGCAAACAAAGCATGTCTATAGGCCGCTCATTTTTACGGGTAGGCAGCGATGGTGTATTTTTGCCAAATAGTAAACACTGAGCTACAGCCAGAAGGAGGGACAGAATCGGAACATGAAGAGAAACAGCACAATAGTCCTGGGCAGCACTCAGGCTGCAGGGTCCTCGGCCCCTTCCTCGGCCCCTTCCTCGGCTTGGTTTTTTTTGTTTTGTTTTTTAATATATTTTATTGATTTTTGTACAGAGAGGAAGGGAGAGAGAGAGAGAGTTAGAAACATTGATGAGAGAGAGTCATCGATCAGCTGCCTCTTACACACCTCCTACTGGGGATGTGCCCGCAACCAAAGTACATGCCCTTGACTGGAATCGAACCAGGGACCTTTCAGTCCCCAAGCCGACGCTCTATCCATTGAGCCAAACCGGTTTCGGCTCGGCTTGGTTTTTTATTTCTCCTCCAAGCCGATGACATGCTCTGCTATCCCATAAGTCACCCTTTATGGCATGAGCTTGCTTCCCTCAGTGTCTATCCCTTCCAACCAAGGGAGTCCAGCTGACTGTGCTTAGGCTTTGAAAGTGTGCATACAACTCAGACCAGGGAGCCGAGGCAGGCCAGGCGGGCCCTGGGGGAAATATGACACAAAACATTTCCCTCTGAATGAATAAGGCTTGAACTCTACATAAGGCCAACTCCACTAGAGGTGTTTTCAGAGAATGCAAATATTCTGCCCCCTTGTATGGTCAAGGCTCTCATCCTCAATGAAAGAAACCCCAACTGAAAACAGCTTAAGCAAAAAAAGCTCCTTACTGCCTCACATAACCACACGTCCAGTAATAAAGCTCGCATCAGGCACAAATGATGTCTCCAGAACCCAAATTTCTGTCCCTGTCACAGTCCCCATGTCTCCCACCTCATGGCACCTACTCTTACCCCCCACCCACGCCTTTCACAAGCGACATTCACAAGCTTCAGTGTCACGTTCCCTACAGCAGTGGTGCCCGCGTGGGGGGCAATTTGATTTTTAACAGAGCAATTTGAGAATGAGTTATTAACAGTGCATTTTTTGCATTTCTTATGGTTCTAGGGGCCTCATATACAGTATATAAATATTTATTGTGATATTTATGTATTTCAGTTCTCTATTATGTTTTGAAACTTTATTTGCTATTTTTTCACATCACTTCATATTATTTTTTTAACAATTGCTTATGATTTCTTCCTCACTACTTCAACTGTCCTTTCGTTCTTTGATTTTTCTCTTTCATGGATGCCATGTTCTTTGGAAGCTGGTTTAGACCAAGTGAATGGCCTTTTAGTCTTCCTCCACATGAACAGGAGTTCACTTTTTGGATATTAAGAATTATAGTTATGGGGATTACAGAGATGCTTATGTGGGACGTAGCCACGAAAAAGCTGGAACCACTGCCAGAGCCCTCCTGGGCCTCGCACCTCAGCCCTTCCGCTCCCCTCACTGCAGACATGTGCCCTTCCTTCCTTTCTCTGCTTTTCACGTACCTCCTCCTCTCCACCTCCAGGAGGCAGGCACCAGGTCCACCACTTCCTTCCTGTAGGAATATTTCTCTTTATGACCATATGAATCATGCTGCAACCTAAGTAACATGAATCCTACCCAAACTATGGTCAGCATAAAATCTAGTATATAGTGTAAATTTAACACTTGGATTCATCCATATCTTCTTTCCATTACTCACGGTCAAAAGCATAAAAAGTTTAAGGCCCTATATGTTATTTCAAAAGCAAAGTTTGACAGGTAGGTAACATTGATTTTTGTTGTTGTTGTAGTAAGTCCTCACCCAAGGATTTTTTTTTTCCATTGATTTTTAGAGGGGGAGGAGGAGGAGGAGGAGGGAGAGAGAAACATCGAAGTGAGAGAGGCACATCAACTGATTGCCTCCCACATGTGCCTAACCATGGCCAGGGATCAAACCTGCAACCCAGGTATGTGCCTTTGACCAGGAATTGAACCCATGACCCTTTGATGCATGGGCCGACGTTCTAACTACTGAACTACACCGGCCAGAACTGATTTTTTTTTTTTTTGCTTTGAAAATTTGTCACTAAAGAATTTGAATCTCTTAATAATATTTATTACTTAAATATTTATTTGAACATACTGTGAGGTTATTACTAGTTATGACACAGGCCCTTAAAACAAAGATCACCAGACCATCAAGTAAAGTTTATTTATTAAACAAGTTTCAGAGAAAACAAAAAACTGTAGCCCTAGTGGTGAGGTATCTCAATACAATATGCAAAGTCCCTACAGTTTTAACAGAAAACTCTTCAAAGCAACCTATTGATAGTTTTTATAAGGACCTATCACTTCCTCCACTGATTTAAATAAGGATTCTGACCAGCTGATGGCTCTTCAATGGGCAGGTTCTCCTGACTGACCGTCTCATAGAGGAGCACAGGCCCTCGCGTGGAGAGCCGAGCCGCACGGCTGGGCGAGGGAGCACGGGGAGCGGGGTGCAGCGCCCAGCTCCGGCTGCGTGGCCGCCCAGGGAAGACTGCAGTGGCTGCTGGCATCTTTCACAGACACACACTCAGCAGGGCGGCGGAAGGCCCCTCTCTGTTTGGTACGTTTGTGCGTTTCCACTGCTTTTCATTCACTGGGCATCCCAGGCAAGAAACACAAGTTACAGCAGTTCTCAGGCTTTCTCTTTCTGTCCACTCAGCCTTCCCCACACACTCACTTAAAGGAGACTCACTTCCACTCCCCTCTCGCAGCTGCTATTGCCATTAGCCTCGGGAACAGAGTATTTTCATACTCTCATACAGGTATGACTCAGTTTCCACGCCTATCGAAATAAGGAAGTTGAATGACCTAAGGTTCCTCCCAAAACAACTTAAACCAGTGAAGCTGTGTGCCTAAGGAAATTAGCTTGCTATTTCTGTTCCCTAAGAAACACTTCTTTATCTGGTCTCCCACCAAAAGAAAAAAAGAAAAAAGAAAAAAACTCAAAAACAACAAAACCAAAGCACCTGCTTCTGGCTTATACCTCTCCGATGTGCCACTCCACTGCCAGGGCGGCCTGCCCCCTGATGATGGGCCCTGTCACTTCACACTCAGCGCGGATTTCTCCCTCCAGCTCCCGCACCCCCCAGCACAGCTGCCTCTCCGGCTCCAGCCCGCCCAGGCCCGGCAGCACACCTAGGCTGCACTGGGGAGAAGCAGAATGCCCGTCTCTCCCGCCACACTGGGAGCTGCCACCCATCCTCAGTGCCCAATGTGCCTGGCACTTTGGAGGTGCCCGACACACGCTGAACAGAAAACCCGAGTCCTCATCGAGGCTGTGAGGCCGTGAGAGACAGGTGACAACTGTAAACTCTGGAAAGTTAATTCACTTTTATGATGACTTTCCTGAACTACAGGCAGCAAGAAATGGTGGGAGGGGATTTGCAAGCTCTGAGATTCTCAAAACGCATAGTTTTCCTGCAGTGAGGTCCTGTCCCACCAGGCCCTCCTCCTCACTGGGTCTGGGGTCTCACTGGCCCCAGAGAGCTCTGCCAATTTACACGAACCCAGTGCCTCCACCGGCAAAGGCCTCGGGACAGGAGAGCCACTTCATCTCAACGGCTGAAGGCTGAATTTGGAACTAGCACACATGTCCCTGCTCCAAAGTATTTATCCAAATGAAATCCTGCTTAGAGATGTACTACTATTTCTTCTGCTACTAGGATATCACATGCACTCACACAGAATCTGTGTAACTTCAAGGTCACTTAACTAATTAATGGCGGGGCCGGGGTCGGAACCCCAGCAGCCTGGCTCCAGAGTCCACACTGAGCCACACACCAGGCTGCCCCTCAGTGGACTGCAGCGGGGTGGAGAAGACCTTCAAACTTGGTGTGAAATACTGGGATTTCTATCAATGTGTCGGAAAGCTCGTTACAGATTTAAAAATGCACAGGCAACTAGAGCACAAGTTTTAAAGCAAAGACCTGAGAGGAAATGTGTCACCAAAGGCAGTTACTATGTACCCAGAATATGAAAACGGGAACTTGAATAGATATTGGTACAGCCATGTTCACAGCAGCGTTACTCACCACAGCAGAGAGGCGGAAACCCGGTGTCCATGGATGATGCCCAGAGGACAAACTGTGGTATACCTTTCAATGGAACATCATTCAGTTTAAAAATGAAATGCTGACACATGCTCCAACATGAATGAATCTTGAAGACATCATGCTAAGTGGAAGAGCCAGACACAAAAGGACCAATACCACGTGATTTCACCTACCTGAGGTCATATAGTCAAATTCATAGCTACGGAGAGTAGAGTAGTCATTGCCAAGGGCTAGTGGGAGGGGAGATGGGAGTTAGAGTTTAATGGGCACAGAGTTTCGGGATAAGATGATAAAAAATGCTTCAGAAATGGATAGTGACTGCATAACAATGTGAATGTACTTAATGCCACTGAACTAACTGTACACTTATAAATGGCAAACACTGTGAATTTTGTTATGTATATTATAACAAGTAGTTATGTATCAACTGCAGTGTGGGACAAGAGGAAACACACTCAAAGTCTGGAGTCCGCTATTAGGAAGCCTTGGCTAAGCTGCCTTTCTCGGTCTCAGCCTGCGCTATCTGTATCCCCGGGGTTACTACGGAGGTGAATAAGAAAGCACCTGGCTCTGAGTACGCACCTACTGTTCTGTGGCTGTCACGCTGATATTGAGAGAGTCTTGAGAAAGAAATCGGAGCCAGGGCTTTGCTAACAAGGCAGGCGGCGCTGCCAGTCCTTCGGGCAGGAAGGGGGCAGGCCCGGGAGGTTTCTTGGCCCTGAGAGCCGGTGGCCCCTCCGAGACCAGCCTGGCAGGCAGAGGCCCGGCTCCCGGACCTCATCAGCCTCTCGCTCGCTGTGCTGACTGGGAAAGTCACTTCAGCCACTGGGCTCCGTTCTCCACATCTGCCCGGCCTCTCGCCCAGAGAACCTGGGGAGGAGCAAACGGGAATGTGCTGCTAACGAACACATTCCACTGAGGAAATGTGAGGATCTAAGCATCCCACCTGCCAACCAGAAGGGCACAGGGAGGCTGTACAAAACGGAAGGTTTTACAGGCAGAGAGCGGTGGGCAAGAAAGTTAAAAGAGGATTATTTCAGATGGAGGGAATGGAGGGGTCTTATACTGGAGATGACCTGACTAGTGCTGACCAGGGAATTCCAGAGTGATTGGTCTAAAATTCCACTCCTGGGAGAGGTGGAACTGTAGTTAGGTTAAATATTAAGTCTTGGTGGTGCCTAGCAGAAGTGACTCCATTTTCCATCTCTTGTTCCTTTTTAATAGTAAAGGCTTTGAGAGCCCTGAGAGCATTTTCAGAACGGAAATAAGAGTAGGAGTATTATCATTAACAGAGAGAGGTCCTTCAGACCCTCTTTCTTCTCTGTCACCCGGAAGACAATGTCACTGCCCTCAAGGGCGTTGTTGAAGGGCATTTCATGACCTCCCCTAAATGTCCCCCAGCAGGACCTGAAATTCCCTGACAGAAACTGCCTTGCATTTCACTCTCTTCCCTGCTGGGTCAGTGTAAGAGCCTTAGGGAGCCAGACTAGGAAGCTGTCACCTACCAGCCCAGATCTGGACCCCACAGTGCTAGGTCTGGTCCGCACTCTCTGGGAGGCCGCACCCTGCAGAGCATCCCTCCGCTGAGCCATCTCCAGTGCAGGCGTCCCCACTCTCCCCTTCAGAGAGAGGTCCATTCCAACAGCCACATCCACCCCAGCCAGAGGGCTAATCCCACTGCTGCCCAGCCGGAGTCCTGAGGAGCACCAGCAAACCTTCAGACCCTCCACTCTTCTAGGAACGTCCCTCTCTCCGGCTCTCCCTGAGGCTTGGGTGTGGCTCTCCCTGAGGCTTGGGTGCGGCTCTCCCTGAGGTTTAGCTGTGGCTCTCCCTGAGGCTTGGGTGTGCACATCTTAAGCTGTCCTTCCTCTCAGGCCATTGCCACAGGGTCAGGAGCGGTAGCAGTCCTTCCTCTTTCCCGCTGTCACTTCCAATCCAGTACTTCTCCCAGTCCAATAATCTCCTCTCTTTTGTAAAGCCCTGTATCTTTAGGGTTTGGTTGATACCCTTTTCTCACCTTGCTGCAATCATCTATGGACCTCCAGATATTTGCTTCTGGTTCACAGACTTCCTTTCTACCCAAATCCTGGTATCTTTCTCACGTTCCTATGGATGACCTATCTAAAAGCCTGGCCTCTCTTAAGTCCTTGACTTCCTCTTCTCCGGAAACTTTTTCCTTCGTTCTATCTAACTCTGCTAGGGGTATACCATGAGCTTCATCATCAGGGAGTTTCTTCCCCTACCCCCTCAGCCTCAACCACCTCCTTCTAGGCCACTTGCTCAATTCTATCCCAATTCTCTGTCTTCTTCATACTTGCAATCACCGACCTCCAAACCTCTCTGTGCACCAGCTCCCTCTGGGCTCAACTTCCCTCTGTTAGCAGCTTCAAGCCCACATCCTCCAAACACAGCTCCCTCCCTTCCCTTTCTCCAGGCTTTCCAGCCCCTGGGCCTGGCAAGCAACTGCTGTAGCGGGAAAGAAAATCATGCGACCAGCCTTCCGAACCTCCACATTAAATGCACTTATGATCATAAACCGGACGTGAACATCCACTCGACACTTCCTAGAAATCTCACTGCGATGCTGCGCTGTTCCCTCCCTATGCTCATTCTCCCGAAATGACCTTACATCGCTTTTCCCAAACAGAAGCCTTTAGGCACGAACTCCCTCATTGCTCCTCCACCAAATCTGCAAACCTACCCACAGCCATGCCCACCTCCTCCTCGTCTCTGGCTACATGGAGAGCATGCTCCTGCTCTTAGCAAGAGCCAAACCCTCCACACCAGCTTTGGATTCCATGCGGCCACCACCTCCAAATCCAACAGCGTCATTCCAGCTATTATCCTCTCTTCCTGCATCATTAGTCACTCTCTGCCTCTCTCCAGGATCATCCCCAACAGCACACACTCCTCTATTTTATCTTCACCCTAAACACACACACACACACCTTTTTAATCCCCACATGTCCCTAGCAGGTGACAGTTTCCATATAGCCCTGGTTATCTATGCCAAGGCTTCTCAAACTTTAACGTAGATACAGATGGCCTGAGAATCTTGTTCAAAGGCATATTCTGACCCAGGGGGTCAGGAGTGGAGCCCAAGAGTGTGTACTGCCAACCTACTCCAGATGCTGCTGCTGGCCCCAGACCCCACTCAGGCAGCAAGGCCGATTCCTTCCCTCGCTACTCCTAACCGGCTTCTCCCCCAGCGTAACTTCATGGAAGCTGGTCTGGTCAAACCGCCAATAAACTCTATGTTGCAAGTGCCAATGAATACGCTTCTTTCTCCTCTTCCATCTCCTCCCCCTCCTCCTTTTAAAAAAGAGCATGTAGCAAGTGTGATAAAACTTTGCCTGGCCTTTGAAAACAGATACAAACTCTTAAGACAAAGGACCCAGTGCTCTGTGCCTATCCCTCTATTTCCTCAGGCATGTATCTTTGCTTTCTTTCTCCTAAGCTCTAAGGGTTCTCACTAGACTTGCAACCAGGAGGGTAGTGGGCAACAGGCAGTGGCAGCTTGTCCCAGGTTAACCCCATGAACCTGTCTCCAAGGACCCTCCTTTTTCTCTGTAACTTGTTTCCTGAGTCCATGAAACCCAGCTGGCTCACTTCTTCTGTTTCTGTGCTTACTTCCTAAAGGGCCTGGCAGCTCTGTCGAGGCTCACTCCTGTGTCTGTGATCTTGCCTCTTCTATCCTAAGCCTTTCTGTCACGCTGATATTTAGGTCCCATTCTTGTTTTTTTCTGTCCAGCTTTAATAAATGTAGTGTCAAAATCACCTGGACTTGAATTGTGAAATCTTTCCTGCACTGAGTCAATAATTCACACATTCCAGACCATACCGGGACATACCCACCTCGGTCCCAGTCCCTTCCCTGTGCAATTCTACTGACTCCATCTCCAAAACACGTTTTAAATCCATCTGCTTTGTCCATCTCCTCTGCTACACCTGAGTCCCAGCCACCAACCACTGAACAGCCATAACGCCCTGACTGACCGCTCAGTGCCACTGTAGCTTCTCTTCCATCTGTTCTTCCCAGAGCCCGTCTGTGAATTTTCCAAAAATGCAAATAAAAGTGTGCTACTCTGGCCGGGGGCTCAGTGTTTGGAGCTTCATCCTGTACACCAAAAGTTATGGGTTCAATTCCCAGGCAGGGCACATACCTAGGTTGTGGGCTCAATCACGGATAGGGAAGGCAACCAATCAGTGTTTCTCACATTGATGTTTCTCTCTCTCTCTCTCTCATAAATAAAAATATATCCTCAGGTGAGGATTTTTTTTTTTTAAGTATGCTTAAAGCCTGTAAATGGCTCATCATGAGTAAAATCCAAACCCTCTATTCACCATGGCCTATAAGACCCTACACCAAACATGTCAAACTCGAGGCCCAAGAGCTACATGCAGCCACAAGGAATACTTTTGTGCCCAGCCAATATAACGGTAAGAAATGTTTTAATAAAAATTTCATAACTTAATTTTTACAATATCCTTTTATACATAATGACTAATTACTATAATCGTGTTGCATTCATTTCCCTTACACGCCTTATGTGCCTTACACTCAGGCGCACCATTTAGTATCTCCACTAATACTAGCAGTGAATATTGATTGCCACATCATTAGTTCTGTACTGACTTGTTTGGTTTGCACAACAGGAAATATTTTGCTTTTGGAAAACAAGAAAAATTTGTTTATTTGTGTTACGTTTATTAATCTGTGCAGTTATTCAGCGTCTAGTAAATTAATGTTCAAGAAAAAATATTAATTTTTATTAAAATGTTCTATTATTTTATGTTGACGATTACTCCGTTATTTCAGCTCTTTGTATCCAGCATGTCTCGATCGAAATAAACCTTTGTTTCCATGAAAATTGAAACTTTTGGGGTTTTTTTTCAACCCACATGAACTTAAACCTTCTTTATTTGGCCCGTGTTAGCCTTTGAGTTTGACACGCTTGCCCTACGCCAACCACTCTCTAGGCAGCTTTGTCTTCTTCCAGCTCCAGTCCCTCTCACAGACTCTGCTCTCTTGCCTGTGAAAGAGACGAAGCAAAAGAAAGCAAGGTGCCATCATGAAACTGAAAAAAGTTTTCTATGGTTGCCTGGAGCAGGGAAAATGGCAGAATATGGTATGAGATGAAACTAGAGGGAAGTAAGGGTGCGGTCATTTACACGCAGTGAGCCCCACAGTTAAAGCGTTCTAGACTTTTTACTGAGAGCACTGGAGAGCCACTGAAGTGTTTCAAGCAAGTAAGTGGCATGATTAGACTTGCATGCTGAGAAGACCATTGTAAATATAGCGTGGAAAGCAGAGGTCTCGAGCAGATGTGGGAGATGCAACAGGCCAGGCCAGAGGCGAGGGTGGCCTAGGGATGACAGCGGACAGGGAACCTACCCAGCTTTTACACTATTTGGGAGCTGCAGGTGTGATTTATAAGAAATATATTTGATCTTGGGCACAGTTCCCGGCGCACAACTCCCCAAACCTTTGGAATGCCCTGAGTGATAAGAGCAGTAGGAGCAACTTTGGTTCTAATACTTAATGTCTCCTCCTCCCTCAGTTCCTGAAAATGCCCGAGTCATAAAGGTGAGATGGTCTCATCCTATATAATAAAGAGGTAATACACAAATTGACCATCACTCCAACACACAATATGACTGCCCCCATGTGGACACAAGATGGCTACCACAAGATGACCGGCAGGAAAGGGCAGTTGTGGGCAATGAGGCCTGTAGGGACATTGGGGATAGGGGTGGGGGGGAGGGAGAGGAAGAGGGGGGGAGGCCAGGCCTGCAAGGGAGGGCTGTTGGGAGGGACAAGGCCTGCAGGGGAGGGCAGTTAGGGGTGACCAGACCAACAGAGGAGGGCAGTTGGGGGTGACCAGGCCTGCAGGGGGGCCAATTAGGGGCGACCAGGCCAAAGGGGAGGGCAATTAGGGGCAATCGGGCTGGCAGGGGAGTTGTTAGGGGGTGATCAGACTGGCAGGCAGAAGTGGTTAGGGGCAATCAGGCAGGCAGGCAGGTGAGCGGTTGGGAGCCAGCAGTCTGGATTGTGAGAGGGATGTCCCAGATTGGAGAGGGTGCAGGCTGGGCTGAGGGACACACACACATCCACCCCCATGCACGAATTTCGTGCACTGGGCCTCTAGTTATTCATAATAGACCCCTTTCCACAACTGGGCTTCTCTGCTAATGAGGTGACGTTTGGAAAGCACCTAAGGGGGCTGGTTGGCCCTTGAACTAGGGTTGGAACTTTCAGTCCCATCTGATTTCTGGGGAGCAGAGAGGCTGGGGCTGAATCAGTCACCGGTGGCGATGATTCCTCCAGTGAGGACTGTGTGATGAAGCTTCCTGAGAGCCCACCAGAGGGCTTTAGGGAGAGTGCAGGGGGGGAACCAGCACGCTTCCTCCTGTTGCCACCTGGGCCGACCTCCTCTAGGACAGAGCCCTTGGTGTGGGACTCACCCTGAGCCTCTCTTCTCTGGCTGCTAACTCGTGTCCCTTCCTATCCTCTGCCAGGAATCGGTCATCTAGTGAGTGAACCAGTTTCCTGACTTGTGTGAGCTGCTCTAGCAAGTTAACGGAACCCAGGGAAGTTAATGAACTCTGATTTATAGTCAGTCAGGGGTCAGAGAAGTTCAGGTAACAACCTGAGTGGAGACTGGCATCTGAAACCCAAAGAAGGGGTCATGGGAGCCTCTAATCAGCAGCCAGTTGGTCAAAAGCACGGTAACAACCTGAGCTTATAACTGTATCTGAAGTGGAGGGCAGTCTTATGGGACTGAGCCCTTAGCCTGTAGAATACGATGATGTGTGCAGACAGTGCCAGAATTGAGTTAAATTGTAGGACACCCCGCTGGTGTCTGGGAATTACTTGGTGGTATGGAAAACTCCACCCCATATATAAAAACATATCACATTGGAATTTAATATAATCCCCTTTTAGAAGTTTTTAAAAACGTGGCAGAACTTACTGAACAAATATACTGTATTTTCCGGCATATAAGACGACCCCCTAATTTTACAGTTAAAAATTCGTTTAGCGGCATATCGAGACGTTTTTTCAGGATATACTCTGTGTATAAGACGACCCCCGATTTTTGGTTGACTTTTTTTTTTTCCGTCTTATACGCCAGAAAATACAGTAACTTGAGGTTTTTTTTTTTAAAGGCTTACTTTTTTTTTTTTTTTTTTAAGGCAAATAGAAGCACGTTAACTAAAACCCTCTCCTAATAACAGGATCAGCTAGTCTACAATAAATGACTGCCCACCAATCCTTTCTGGTTTTTTAGGGGAGGAAGGAAGGTGGCGATGGGAGAGGTAGTATGAAAGAAAAGAGATAGGAGACTATAAATTAGGACAGTGGATGGGAAAGGGGCCACAAACCAGAAGAAAGGAAATCAATTGTGCTGACTCTTCAAGTCTGCCTAACCAGATGGTGACCCTAACCATCTCCAACTGGGTCAGGATGAACAAAAATGATCCCAAGACTTCATTACCTGAAGTTACAGTTTAACATAATTTATGAGCTCTTGTTATAACTACCGGTATGCTAAATTCAAAGGATATTTGTTACATGAAAATATTAGAGTTACAGAATTTTTAGAAATGGAAGAAACTGAGAGGTCACTTAATGAGGCTTCAGGCTCAGGATTCCTAAACTCTTCCTTCCGCCTACAGACACTTCAGCAATATTTCATCTAGAAGCTAAAAGAATGAAGCCCTTCTATCCACGTGGATAATTAAAAAGTATCAGGGTTTCAAAAGAGAAATTAAGAATTGCTAAGCAAATAAATATTTATTGTCCAAAGATTTAAAATAACTGGGGACAGGGAGTTTGATTTAGGTTCATCAAGATTTTTTTCAGTTACTTTGCATAGAAGCATAGGTTTATTTCGATAGAGACATGCTGAATATAAAGGGCTGAAATAAATGGGTAATCGTTAACAAAATAATAGAACATTTTAATAAAAATTAATATTTTTTCTTGAGCATTAACTTATCAGACACTGAATAACTGCACAATAAGTGTAACGCAAGTAAACGTATTTTTCTTGTTCCCCAAAAGCAAAGTATTTCCTGTTGCGCACACCAAACAAGACTAATGACGTGTCTTCCCACTCTCACCCAACAAAAAGCTCATACACCCTGTGACCTACTGGCCCCTCTACTCTCAAAACATCTGAGAATATACACTTATACACCCTTATGTATATTCCTAGGTTCCAAAAGAAATGAAGAGCTAAAGGAGACAGCTCAAGGTTAAATATTATCTTCAAGGCCAGATATTTGTCTGGTATTGGTTAGATCTGTGGGTCTGTGCCAAGCAGAGCTGATGCTCAATAAACATTAGCTCCCCTCTGCCTCCTCACCACCCCTCCCCCTCCACCTGAGTTCCATTTTCTCTAGGACTCTGCCTTTCTGAGTCAAACTTATTCTCAGCCACATGAATTCACTTTAAAAAAAAAAAAAAAAGACAAATCCAGGTGTCTTACATATCTAAGAGTTAAGAGCAGGAGCTGTTTATTTAGAAGTATTTGGAGCCAATGAAAAGTGGGGCTCTTGCACATCTTGAGGGAAATACACTGGACATGTTAGAAGACTTCACTACGATCTCTTCAACACAGCAGTTCTAGGCCGTTACACTGTCTCCAAAGTTAGCTTTCAGAAAAGGTTTCCAATGACGTTCCCAAATTCCATGAGCAAAAGGGTGTTGTGGGGTTGGGTGATGTGGCACAAAGGATGATCTCAACTCTGGTTTAAAAATTTCCAGTCTCAAGCCATCTTCAGCCAAGGAAAGAGCCTTGAAGAATTAAGGCAAGGATTTAAAACTTTTTCACTTCTTCCACCTTCTACCAAGACCCATTTAGGTCCCATTCTTGTTTTCCTATCTTCATGAGTATAGGTCCCATCGTCCCAAAATATATCTAAAACCGTATATTCCCCCTTTTTTCCACATAAAATCCTGAGAAAGGTTCTACTCCTCCGGCAGAGGGAAACCTTGCTGAGTTCTCAGATAAGAGCACCTACTTTCTAATGATCAATAAAGTGAACAGAAACAGAAGGGAGGCCCACTGTGGTCAGAAGAAAGCAGACAAGCTGAATGGACTAAAACCACACCCATGAGATGCCCTTAGTCCCACCCACCCCCACTGCCACAAACACCTTCAACACTCCTTACTTCCCCTACCCCTAGAAGTAGGACAACTATTACCACCTTTTTAAGCTGCGGCCTCTGCAGCACTGAGGTGAAAGCCATGCTCAAGATCACACCACACATAAAGTTTCAGAAGCAGCATCCAACCTAGGCCTTCACACCCTGCCCTCCAATCCCTCCCAGCAGTCAATGCTGCCTTTCACAGTCATTCCATTGCCGGGATCTCTGATATTCTAATTCTATCTACTGCTCCAGGTGTAAGATGCATTGCTGCAAGCTTTGACGTCCACAAACTTTGCTGCTGGGCTTAGAACGGGGCCGGAACCGCTGTCCCCTCTGATAATCCGTGCCCACTGCCCATCCCCAAAACTTAAGGAGAAACGAGGTTAAGAAACTGGGGCAGAGGAGAAAGTTCGGTTCTACACGGGCTGAAATCAAGCCACAAATGGCTCAAATGAACAATCGGTCAAGCCTCTTCCACTGGCGATTCTAAGTCAGTCCGCCAAACCCAGGAGCTTCTCCCCGGAAGACTCTCCCGGCGACAACAGCCAAGTGACACGTTTCCAGGATCCACCTGAGATTCGCAGAAAGGACGCCGCCCCTGCAAGCAGCCTGGGCGGCCACCTCTGCCGCCAGCAGCGCTGAGCCGCGCGGACGGGCCTACAGCCCCACCGGAGGGCGCGGGGAGGGTGCTGCCGCCCGGCCATGCTCACAGCCCGGCCCGCGGCGCTCCTTCCATCAGAAGCCACATTCCCGGCCAGAGCCAGACCAGCTCCACCAGAAAGACACGCAGGGGGAAGGGGTGGGTATGCAAAGAAACAGCTTCATGCCCGGTTTCAAGACCGGACCCAACAACTTTCGGAGCATGGCCCGGTCAGTCCAAGCAGAAGTTCTAAAGGCGCTTACAAGTTTTTTCAACACTTGCGCTCTTCCCCTGCCCACACGGCGACCGCGGGACTGAGGAAGTGGACACCCTCGGGCCAGAGGCCCCGAAGGGCAGGAAGTGGAAGCAGAGGCCATTTGTGGGAAAGGGAAGGAGGGCGAAAGGGAGAGAGGCGGGGGCGCCGCCCCCATCTCCCCCGCTCCAAGCCCGCCTCGGAGGCCCGCAGGCTTTCCCCGGGGGATCTGCCCGGGCCGCGGCTCCCGCGTCGCCCTCCGCCGGCCTCGAGGCGCGGCGTGTCCGACCGCCGGCCGCAGCCTTGCGGGGAGAGAGCGGGGCCAGAGGCCACCGAGCGCCGCGCGGCGCACCCACCTCCTCAGCCCGCGCCCCCGGCCGCCCCGAGGGGGTCCCGTGGCCGCACAGCCTCACCTGGGACACGTCCAGCGCCGCCTCGGCCGGGCGCCACCCGCACGCCGCTCTTAAGCCCGCCCCGCCCGCCCCCGGGCCTCCGCCCCCGCCGGACCCCGGCCGGCAGTCCCCGGCCGATTTGTCATTGAGCTGCGGGGATCGCTTCCCCACCCCTGAGCGCGCCCCCGGCGTCGCCCCGGCAACCCCGCCTCGAGCGCGCGCCCTTCCTTGCTCCCACTCCGGGAGACCACGCCCACGGGGCCCTATTAGCCAATCTGAAGAGGATCTGCCAATCTGAAGAGGAGGCTGGGGTACGCCTGGCCAATGATAAGCCGCCTCAGGCGGGAGGGGCGGGCTCAGCACGCCGGCCCCGCCCCCTCCGTTCCCTCCCCGTTCGCGGGGCGCGCTGCACGTGACCGATGCTGCAGTGGAGGAGCGCGGAGCTGGCCTGGGTGCGGGCGTGGGCTGGCGGAGGGTGCTCCCCTCGGGGATCTAAGGGCAAGGCCAAAGCCGTGGTAGCAAAAGGGAAGGACAGACCCGAGGCAGAACACCAAGGGAAGTTACAGTGCGGCGCGCGGGTGTCCAAGGGTCCCCGCGGCTAGAGCGGAGGGCAGGGTCCCGGAGGAGGGACCTCCGCCAGCCGCCACGACTCGCTGGATTGATGCCGATGCCCCGTTAGCAGTAATGGAGTTCCGTGACCAATTCCTGAAGACACTTCACCAGGTCACAGGTTAAGAATCCGAACCCCAGCCCTAACCTTGATGCAGGAAGTGCAGAGGGAAAGCTCGTGGCCGATAGGTTTTTCTCCCACAACCTGCCCCCGTCATCGTCCTCCATAGCCCGGGAAACTGCAACTTTCTATCAAATAGGGCCTCACCCGAGGTTGATTTTCGCAACTAACCGCCCCTTCCTGGAGCTGAACCCTCCCGCCTCCTCTCCCCCACTCCGCTCCCACACACACACCGCCCCCGCAGGAACTGTGGCCCCACTGACCCCTACACACATCTCAGGACACAACACATTGTTTTGCCGTTAATTGTTTAGATATCCGCCTGTATAATCTTTGGGAAGGAAACTAGTTCTTGTTCAACTTGATATCCACAGCAACTGGCACCATGTAATTAATTCTTTCCTTGTTGGTAATTATACATCAGGATACATGTATATTATATGAGAAGCTTTGTGCCTTGATTAGATTGTTATGTGTAAGCAGCTAACAGATCCAGGCCCTCCACGAACAGCTGTATCAAAAAGCACAGAAGTTTGCCCTGGCCTGTTTGACTCAGGGGTTAGAAAGTCAGTCCCTGGACTGAAGGGTCAAAGGTTCAATTCCCGTCAAGGTCAGGTATCTCCACTGCAGGCCCGACCCCCAGTCTGGTTCGGGGTACATGCGGGAGGCAGCCAGTCCCTGTGTCTCACACAGATGTTTCTTTCTATCTCAACCACTCCCTTCCCCTCTCCAAAACCCAACGGAAAAAAATATCCTCGGGTGAGGATTCAAAAACAAAAAAACACATAAGCTTAACCTTAAATAACAAGCTTAACCAAAAACATGTAACCAGAAGAAAGCAAGTTTTTACCCTTTTCGTATATATTGCATGCTAATTATATGACAGAAGCTCTGCTAGGTTCTATAAGGGAGAAGGGTAGGAGGCTTCTCAAAAAGGAAGCTCTCTGGTGTTTATAACCTAGAAAAGAAAACAGACACAAACCGTCTCCGGTGGAGTAAGGATTGTGTGCACAGGCTTGGAAGTTCCCCTCGGTTTCTCCAGCTGCCCCATAGGAACAGCACCTCCCACTGCGGGCGTGAAGATGTAAATGAGATCACATGTGCCTTTCCGGGAACTTGGTGAGTCCTCAACAGATGTTAGCTGGAATTGTGATTGCCACGAGAAACTGCGAGGCACACGCAAGCCTGTTATAACCACCTCGGGGCAGCATTTCCTTCCAAGGCCCTTCGGGGGGCGTGCAACACGATCATAGTGCAACCCAGCTCAGAGCAGCCTGGCGGGAAGGGCCTGCGTGGTGGTGCCATTTTATCAAACCAGCGTTTAGACAGGAAAGCCTGCAGCAGCCCGTCCAAGTGAGATAAGTAGTTCAGAGAACAGGAACAGGGTCATGGGCACTGGGTAGGATTGAATTCCCAGTTACTGGGTGAGGCTGTGTGACCTACTCTAACCAATGATGTGAAGCGGAGTGGCACATTTTTGGACTGGAGAAGTTATTTGCCAATGAAAGAGACTCAGAGCTCTCTTCTGTGTAGTATGGCCACTGGCAGTGTTTGGGAGTGTGGCTGCCCCATCAGCCTGGGACCTACCCTGGGCACACACCACCACTCCAGCACCAGCCTGGGTGGGCCTTTAGCATGACTGGGAAACAGTTCTCTGTGGTTTGCAGGCACTCGAGGTCCAGAGTTGTTTGGAATAGCCACATAGCTTAGTGTGCCGAGCTAGGCACACAGTGGTGAAAAACTCAGAACAGATAAATAAAACAGTAAACAAACAAGCAACTCCATAATTACAAACTGTGTCATTGCAAGTGACTTGAGATTGGGTGGTCAAAAAGCTATCTTGGCAGGTGACATTTAAGCTAGGACCTGGAGGATGAAAATGAATCAATCTTGGGAAAAGTTGGGAGTGAGGGGAGGAGAATGTTCGCAGCAGAGCAGTGAGCAGGCACAAACGCCTAAGGCAGAACACAGCCAGTCTTGAGAACAGACCAGAGGCCTTGCTGGACTTCGGGTCAGGGGGAAGAGCCACACAAGAGGGAGGGGGAGGTGGGAGCCAGATTATGTGTGTGGGGTGGGAGCTTCTAGGTTATGATGAGGAGATTGGCATTTATTCCCTGTGTGAGGATCTGGAAGCAGTTTGAGCCAGGAGGGTGACACACTTGATTTAGGTTTAAAAGATCACTCTGGTGCAGTGTAGAGTGCGGGCTGTAAGGACAGGTGTGGGAGGGGACATTAGGAGGCTATTCCAGGGGTCCAAACAAAGTGGGGTCCACAGGGCCAGAGGCAACAGGGTAAGAAGGCACAGGGAGATAACAGGAGATTTGGAGAGATTGCTAGGGGAGGAAAGAGGAGGGGAGCAAGAGACCTGATCACTAACCCAGGGGTTTCTTGGCCCAGTCCTGGAGGAAGCAGAGGCAGGGCTGGAAGTTGCCCACCCCATCCCACCCCCCCAGGCACCTTGACCTCAGGGAGAGGAGCACTCCAAAGCCAGGCAGGAGCGGGAGGGTGTGGAGGACAGCGGGCCAATTTCCTAGAGCAGCAGCCAGCGCTGGGGACTTCCTCCATGATAGGCAGTACTATCTAACAGCTGGCATTAGAGAGAAGCTGCCAAGGCCCAGCATCCCCTCTGGGCATTTGATACTTGGTGACCACTCAATTAGAAAACACAGGAGGCTGCCACTCTTGCCTCCTGAAGGTTCTGGAAAAGACCTATAAACAGCAAAACTAGATGGAGTCCCGTCTTCAGTGCTGTGGTCGTATTTCTTTTCTGTTTCTCCTGCCCTCAGGGCCCAAATGTTCTCTCTCCACCCCGCTATCTCATCGTATTCTCAGTATCGGGGCTCACGGCTGACTCACGCGGCATAAACGGTTCGTGGTGGTATGTCGTAAATCATGGGGTGAGATACAAGACGCCTTAATGAGCTAATTAATTAGGAATCACTTATTGGCACGGCCCAGAGGGAGGTGTTTCTTCCAAGTCTCTCAGCCCCTCATACAGGAAGTTTTTCCGAATTTATATTTCTGGAGCCTCTTTGTTGGCAGATATTACAAAGGGCTCTGTGTGAGTTATGGTTACAGACAGTTGTAACCTTGAATACATAAACAGTCTGTACTTGGCATAATTATTATCAGTATTAGTCTATTACATTGGACGGCTAGCTTGCAAGGCCAGACAGTTAAGTTTATCTTTTTCTATTATTTGAACTAAAAACAAAGTCATTTTACAGAAAAACAGATAGTCTTAAAGTGACAGAGTTTATAACGACAGAGTTTATAGGACTAGGGACAATCTAACAATAGCAGAGAGTTTCAAACAGTTTTTACACAAGATGGAGGTTACTGTGCTTCAATGGCAGGCAGCTCAGTAGGCACCCACGCCTTCCTATCATCCATTTGGTGAAAACCCCAAGTCCTAGACCAGGGCAAGTCCTTAGGGGAGGACCTGAGAGCCTCGCTTCCCACCGCTAGGATGGAGAAGGCATTGAGCCGCCGCCTCTGCCCTCCTGCCATCTTTCCAGGTGGTCTCTGCAGCCCAGCCAGCCAGCAGGAGCTACCCGGATGTTATGGGAATGGCTCCTGCCCAAGCAATTAGCTAGAGGATGCGCTTTCGTCTCCCAAGAGTGTCATCTTCGTGGGAAACACATGAGAAAAAGGCTTCACTTCTCTCTTGAGTCATTGAACTCGCTGGACTTAACTCTCTGTCCTAGTAACTTACAAAGCACCGCCTCCCAAAAGTGAAGTCACCAGGGCTTGTCATTGGGGAGTAGGACTTCATCATTATTGCTGATTCCCGCCACCACCAGCATTTTCGCCTTCCTCCGTCTGCCCGGAGACACGTGGGCACTGCTTCCAGAAATCACCGTAAACCGCCGCCAGGTAACCAGATACCAGCCCTGCAAGGGGACAGCTGCAAAGCGCTGATTGTGAGGGAAAATGAGATTTGAGTGTGGAGCCTGCGCTGAGCTCTCTCCAATGTGGAATACAGGCTGGCCCCCAAAATGCACACACTGTAACAGCCGACAGCTCAATTTTGAAAATGAAATGTATTTAAATAAGCACTGCCTTTATACTTATCCAAAGGGTGTGTGTACATCTTTGGGGGACACCCTGTGCTATCCACGGTCTCCCAGGAAGCTGGACCTATCGAACAGCATTAAAGCACCTTGGAGCCCCTTCCTCTGGCCAGCTAACCTTCTCCTCCCTGCGTGGCAGTCTCTGGAAGCTGCCTCGACCACAGAGCGCCTCCTCAGCCTCCGTGGGGACTCTGGCCCCTTAGACACGGGGACTCTGGCCCCTTAGACACGGGGACTCTGGCCGGTCCTGTCTCAGCACCCCCTGCCCTGGGGAAGCACGGCCCTGTCTGCATCTCACAGGTCCACAGCCCGAGTGTTCCCCTGATGTGCAAACACATGTCACCCGCTCTAGGCAGCTAGACAGACAGACAGC